GGTTAAAATGCAACGATTATGATGTTTCTCTAGATATTTCTAATAATGTACAGAAATAAACTTTAATATGGTAAATCTTAATGCATCAAAACTAATTAAAATCGGAATAAAGAAGTCTTTATAGTTATATTAAATGTATCGTATCATTTAAAAAAAAGCGAAAACTTTTACTAAAATGTAAATACCGAAAGTAAAACTGAAATTCCATAAAAATCAAAAATGTTCCGCAAATTTATGTTTTTACAGTAGTTTTAAACATTAAAAGCACGAAACTGTTAACTAGTAAATTTAGCTCAGTATTTTGATAGATTGACTACCAAAATTATACTAAAGTTCAGCACACATGTGACGTCAAATGGTACATTTGAATGCATTGATTTTTACAAAAACGTTTTGCATATACATTTAGATATTTTTAACTTACATATGACTGAAGAATAGAATATGTTATGCTTAAATATTTATATGTACCATACATATGACTCAAAGCTAAAGCTTGCTGTATAAAAGCATGACCAGCAAAGGACAATGAAAATGCAGTTTCAAGAGGTACGCCTGCCTCTTACATACTGCACTAAACATATTCGTATGGATAGCTCTTTACCTTCTTTGTATGGGCTAAACAGAGTAAATATCTTTTTTAATTTTAAAGATAAAACTAGATAAAAGAATCCCCAAAACTCAGCATTAGGTGAGAGATCCGGAAGTTAATTTTATATACTGCTATTTCCAGATCTTCGAAAATTAAAAAACGAAACAAAAACCTGAATATGAACTAATAAATGCAGATTCATAAAACTTTCAGGACATGTTAAAGAAAGTTATATCGCACAAATTCAGTAAATAACATTTTCCTTGCATAAAAAGTAATTTCTTTGTAATCATGTAAGAAACTAGTTTAACACCTGCATGTTTGATATGGTTTAAGCACTGAACGAAGGGCGTCAGGTAGTCTGGTACAATGTGATTCTTAGCACACTGATCCATAGGTCGTATACCGGTCGTACACAGAGCCTTAGGTCTTGTATTACGCTCTGCATCATTCCTCTGCTAATCCCTTTCACTCGCTTTTATTGGGGATGAAACAGCTGACTCTGTAGGATAAGCCAAAGCGTGTCGCAGGGCTCAGAATGAGAATTAAAGCAATACTTTCTTACACGATAGAGGTTTTATTCATTTGTCTTTCTTACGGCGCAACTTGATGCTTTAGAATAAATATACGTAAAACAAATATGCTTCATTAACGCTGATAAGTAATGTTTTAAAATAATTTACTAGCACTTTTTGAATATCCTTTATCTTTTAAAATGATTAAAGTTCGATCAGCAATGAATTTGTATACTAACGTTTTCATCGTAACAACTAGGCATAACTGAATAAAATAACTGGCATAACTGAATATAAATTAATTTTTTTTCCATCCAGGCTAGCTAATTTAATACTCATGAATATCATTTCAAAATATTCTCTAGTCTTATTTATTTGTAATCTACACTGTACGCGCATGAAAATCGTAAATATGAAAAATACTTTTGGATTGTCTTTGAATAAATCTTAAATAAAAATGTGTCATCAGGCGGCATAATGCTTGATCAGAATACCTTTCTTATTCATAGCTTAACATTAATAGAACTAACCTTACCATAACTTATGCAATGAGTCAACATTTGGCTTATATTTTGGGTTAGTTTATCTATATATGAATACAATAACAAGTATTGTACAAATTTTCAAGATTCTTGTGTATGCATATAATCATGTAAAAATTAGTTGTGAAAGAAATATAAAACAAGCAAGTCCGCAGTTGTGATGCATATAACGGATTTATCATTGTTTCTTATTAATACGCCGTTAAGCATGCATGAATTTAAATGTCTTTAATGTCTTTGATATGGATGTTTCGAATTAGAAAATTGTACAAAATTTGTATTTGAAACATATATTCTATTAGAAAACACACATCGAAGCAGATTTGAAATACATACTCGAGTATGACAACCGGTCTCAGCTAACATCTTCTGTAGAATTAAATTATTCGGTCAAAATATGGGGATCTAGCAGAGAAATAAACTGGTGGCAAATTTCTGCGTAGCTTTATCACACTGAGAACGTGCAATGGAGTCATTCTATAGTTTTTAAAATATTTCAGGCAATTTATTTTACATACAGTGGAAATAAAAGCGGCACAGTTTTAAAGTTTATCTCAGTTCCTATATTAAAACAAAAAAGGTATTTAGACATAAAAGTATCATCCTCTAAAGAAAACTGAAAGAAAAATATCTTGAGAAACAAGGATGTATTCATTGAAACATTGCTTTTTCCACGAGATACCTTTACAAATCTATCCAATTAAAAATGGGTTAAAATTTACGAAAATGTTTGTAACTTTTGTTGCAGACCGTTAAAGCGTAATAAATGCTTTTACTCTATACAATGTATTTAACACCACAAAGTACACTTTAAATTCCTCTGCAAAATGCAATATTTTGCAAACGCCTGCAAAGTTTAAGGTGTAAATTATAAAGAATATAGAAAAAGTTGTTGAGTCGAAAATTTCGAATTATCGGAGCATATTCATAGTGCGTATAGTTTGCAGAATTTTACAAAAAACTGAATTCTGTGATTTTAAGAATATTAATAAAACGTCTTGTGACATGCGATTAGGTGTGTGAAGGCAGCTTTTTGTATTATTATTTAAGATTAGCCTGTTAATCGAAACCAAGGTTAATCGAAATGCATAAAAACGGCTCACTGAAACATGAAAAATAATCACGGAGAAGCAGAGCTACCAAGAGGGAATCCTGCAAAATTATTTCCTATCCGTTCTTTGCCTTAAGGAATATTTTGTATTCTTTCCATATCTTTAGACAGAAATGTTTATACAGAGCTCAAAGAAAACTCAAAAACTGTGTTAAATTCATTATTAATTACGAACTATTTCCGTTAAAGTAGAGTTTAATCGTGTCATTAGATTGTAAATAATTTCCAATTAATACTCCCTCTTTTTTAGACGGCTGACATAATAGTTTCAAATTGCTATCGCCAATAGAATTAATTTGGTATGAATAACGAAATTCGAGACAGATTGAAAAAGTTTCTTTTTACTGATCCGGTGAAATGGATTTTCTTTAGCTTCTAAATGCGCCACATTTTTTTATTCCTTAAAATCCAAGGAGCATAATTATAGTGCTTAATGTTTTTACTACGTGTAGTAAAATACCAATTTAATGGCTGAAATTAAAGCTGAAGGTGGATAGCTACATTTGGCTGGAATAAGTTAACAAAATTAAAACTTCCGTAAAGTGAAAAGGACTTTATCGTTTTTTAGATGTTGGCGGGATTTTGAACAAGCCATATTACCTATTGGTTTTAAAGACGATAACGTAAGCAACATTTTTATCTGTTTATTACTTATTGATTAATAGAAACCGATTATTTCATACTATTATTACCGGTGTAATAGAAAGACTTTCTAGACGAAAAAAGAATTAGAATTAATTAAATTAAGAATTCTTAATTTAAATTATTGATACTTTACAAAAACTAGTGTCGCGATTACTTTCCTTGATTATGTACTCATTTGATAAGAAAAATAAATTGTTTTAAAATATGGTAAAGTTTACTTAAATGAAAAGTACTTAAACATATTTGATTGTTTTAAAATTGTGCGCTTTCGTTTTAAGTAATCTAAATAAATTAATTTAAAGTTCATAAGCGTCATATTCCTTTGCGTTCTCAAAAATATTATTTAGAAGGAATTTTATGCTTTGCTTTCAAAAGGATACAAGGAAAATATTTTAGGAAAGTTCTTATAACATGGAAAACATTTGACTAATATTTTATGAAACTTTTAAATACAAAAAGCATTTTTATGAATTTTAGGGCAGTTTCTAAGTTAATTTATGTATTTCCTGTTACATAAGTCAGTTATTTTTTGAAACATTATAATAAAACATTTTAGAATATAGTTAATACTTTACCGTTTCCTTATCAAATACCTTTTTAAATTGCATCCACACTGAAGAAATCTATTGTGTGCTGAAAGAGGAATTGAAGTTCCTATGGCTTGCCTTAGTTTAGAATTCGTAATTAAAAATTTCAGTTTAAATTGAAACTGAAAATAGTGTGTAAAATCGTGTGTTAATTATACCAGCTCATAACGTCGATCATATCTTTTTAAATTCTTTCAAAAATATAACGGTCTTTCAGTTTCTAACGAAAAAGCTCTTCTAAAAGTATTTTGAAATTTAAAAAACGAAGCCAAATATTACTTGAATACCTATACTATGCAAATTTACCTAAATTATATCTATGAAATTAAATTTATTATAAACCTTAAAAATTAAAATTTTAAAGAAAGTTACGGTTTAATAGTACTAACTCCTAATTTTGAGCACATGTTTCTAAGTTTTTGAAGAATAAATCGGTTTATCTTCTGTAAATTCTTTGAAATTGAAACTAAAATTCTATATCTGAGTTGACTACTTGTGAAAGTTCGGTCAAATTAAAAAATAAATATCAAGTTTATTTTAGTTAGTTTTATAAGACTCATAGTTAAATTTTTGGCACTTTTTATAAGTTTAAACTATTTTTGCATTTATGATTCTCATTTTGTTTCATACACATTTTCATCAATTTTGCTTATTTAAAAGTTATTCAAAACTAGGGACGAAATTAGATCGGGACATTAAAATAAAATAAATGCGCTGTTTGCAATTTTCGAGAACACCATTAAAGAAATATCTCCCACCCGAAAGAAAAGCTCTTTTCATTTTTAAGATTTCCCGGTACAGCTTCCGTTAATATCAAACTACGTTTACAGTCAAACTTTTCCTTCACGCATCGATTCTCAGAGGAGTTAAAGCCGAAGTATCATTTCTAGTAAAAGGTATGGTGCCGCAAACTTCACAAAGATCATTCTTAATGATACCTAGCGATACATCTATTGTTATTAAACTAACGTTTCAATAACGCGGCGTGAAACTTTACGTAAAACGTACCTGTCCAGCGGTGGAGGAAAATTCTCGCCTGGTGGTTCCTGGTTAAAATTCCGAGCTGGGAGCGTGCACGGCGTAAAAAGACACCGCCAGCCTAACTTCTCTCCGAATGAAACAAGCTTTAGCTTTACGATAAAAGCCAAAATCTCCTTTTCAAAAGCATCCCGTGTGTTTTAGCGCCATGATGCGCAGTTGTCCTCCGACGCATATTCTGAAACGGAGCAAAACTCAGCGGAGATGCTGCTCGAAGAGATGGGGGTATAGCGATCGGCGGGACAACCCAGCTCGATCGATGCCTATTGCCCACACTGCTGCCCCTCTCAAACGCCGGTGATTGGACGGCATTCCAACACCCGTATGAAGGCATAAGACGCCAGAGCAGGCAGCTTTTCTCAACGACCAGTTCCCATTTGGACCTAGCTGACGTGTAGACCTGTGTCACGGAGACTAACAGCAACTTCGAAGGAGGTAAGCCTACTTTGACTGCATGCACGACACTCCATTCCTATACTAAAGTAAACGAATGAGCGCCAGCGCCGGTACAGTTAGCTTCCCAGCTGCACAGTGATGGCAGCCATTGCCACTAGCAGGATAGTTTCGGAAGGGGTAAAAGTTTATTTTCGCGCAAGGTGCACCTAGTCTGGCGACCCTTAGATGAGATCCCCAAGGACAGCGCGCTCTGGGGGACCGGTTGGGAAGTTGCAGTGACATGCATAAAGACGCAAAACAATGCCATGTCTTCATATCTTCCCTATGCGCTTGGGCAAACTTAATGTAACTGAACAGTTATCTGAGTACGCGATCTTAAAGAAAGTTGCTGTCAGGGTGTAATTATTTATTTCAATTTACACTGCATTTCTTTTCCTAAATTTCATGCCATTAGAAACTAATTGATTTATGAGGTAGGAAATTCTGATATACTCTTAGTACTCAAAAATAATTCACGAAGAATCATAGCATGACAGTTATTGATTTCGTAACATCTATTAAATCCATTTGCAGTTTTTTTAACTTAACAGATATGCTTCTTGTTTAACGCTTTTAAAACGTGATATGTTGTTGCCTAAGTGTCTAATAAGCGTTTGACGCTTGAAATATTTTACAAATTTTGATGTCACTGCAGTTGACGTTTATGCACACAGATAAAGAAAAAAGAAAATTTTCGTATCTAGATATGTTTCTATTATTTTGAATAGGAAAACATAAAATTTTACTGAATAAAATTGTGTACGTTTGATCTGCGATATAAACCGAAAACATTAACTATTCCAGTGGTATTCAAAACAAATTATGGAAGTAGAGATGTTTATCATTTTGTTGTTTACAATATTAAACGCTGAATTAAAATTGGCAGTAAAAAATCATCATTAAAATATATGTGTAAACCTTCAATGATTTTACTGCTGATTTCAGTTGCACAACAATGTATAATTTTCAGTACACGAATATTTATTAGTGTATATTTATTAAAACTCTTTATCTCTTTCTGTTTCGCCTTGCACATAAACACACATTTTGTGTACATATATATATAGAGATAGATAGATAGATCTACTCTCGCTCACACACAGACGTATACCCACATATACAAAAGAAACATAATTCCTTTTCATAAAATGGGTAATTGTACAACAATATCCTCTGCTTTCTGTTTTACTAAACTCTGTCTCATCGATTTACATATACACATACGTGCAAATATTTATTTTTGGGACCTAACTTTTCGTACGCTGTTAGATAAAAGCAACTGAGAACATGAAAGTACAAACTACGATTACGAAAAATAAACGCAGAAAATTACGCGTATCAAAAAATGCTAAAATTAGGCTTATAGAGGAAATCTACGGTTTAAGAGTCAAGAAATACAGAATGATTCTAAAATGTAAAGTATTTTACTTTCTTATAATATACTTTACATTGACCACCTCTGTATAAGCAATCATTATGTATTATTTACAGTAGAGATAAAAGAATATTTTTTCAAACGTAAAGCACGATGAATTCAAGCTAAAAATATACATATCTATAAATCGAATAAAAAAGTGCAATATTATCTTTTACAATGCTTTAGGTCACTGACCCATATTTAGAGTTACGTAATTGTATAAACTGGTGAGCGTTATGTGCGAAATATTTTAATGTCTGTTGAATACAGTAGAAACATTCTCTCCTTTCCTCCTCTCGCTCTCAATATTTATAATGTACACATGTGTATGAAACAATGTTATATACATAAATCCATCTATATACTGACATATGTTCCATATACTTTCATACATGCATATATTACACATGTTGCATGACAAAAAATCTAATATCTACAGCAATACGTGCATATATATCTTTAAATATATTTATTTATACACGTATACATACTCACATTCACATTATAAAGATACAATACGGTATACGAGCATACAAATACGGTATACGAGCGCACACACGTATATATGTATATACATACATACGAAATACTTTCGAAAATTTCGCATCATATATTTGCGTTACAGATACATAAAGAAGAAGAAACATGTTGACATGGCCAAATTAATGTACTATTTTTATTTCTAATTGACAAACATCTTTCTTCTACGACTTTTTTTATATAATTTTGCAGAGAGTAGGAATAACACACTAGTTAGTAAAAGAGGCAGAAAGTGGAATATGACCTATTTCAAGATGGAGGCCTAGTTTCAAAGGAAAAGTTGTGGTTGTGAAATTTTCTCATTGGCTGTTAAAAGTTTCGATATTGATTGTTTAAATTTAAATTTGTAAAATCGGCGTTATCAGAATTACGTAAAGGATGAACAAGATAAATATTCAAATTAAATTATAGAGTTATGAGGCTGTTTTCAAATTACAGTTAGGATTTAGTTTTTGATTTCCAGATATCTATCTATCTATCTCTCTCTATATATGGTTAGTTTGACTTGACCTAAAATGCAATCATTTATTATATGTACCCATAGTTCATGACTACATTTGCAGAAGATAGCATTTAGTCACATATATACTTAAGGAGAATCACAATTGATAAGAAACCGCCCTTTCATTTGTAAACTGCTTTGTACCTCGACTACTTAGGTTAAGCTTGCAATTCCTACTGTTAGTTCCAAGCGATAGTTTAATAGCTCAAAAGTATATTCACTTTGATGTACATAAATCTCAATAAGTTATATGAAATATTTTAAACTGATTTTCATACTGTTACTTAAATCAAAAATTTCGTGTCATCTTAAATTTTCAGTATCGCAGCCTGTCGCGAAATGATGACTCCTCTTATGAGTCCATAATATCCCTTCCCCAGAAATTGGTTTAATCTGTTTTTTTCCTGCTAAAAATCAAGTTTAAAGACTTACAAAGTAGGCAAAATTCAAAATTGTATCAATCGTAATACGTATTTAATCAGATTCCAAAATTTAACATAGATGGGTGTAAATTTTTAAAAGATAAAATTCCCAGAAAAAGATAAAGGAAATATAAAGTTTAGAAATATCATAGACACTTTTTAAAATGCGTAATATGCGTGTGTATGTTTTTATGCATAAATGTATGTATCTCTATAAGTCTGTTACTCTAGTTATATCTACTTGCATCGTGAAATGCATTAACAAATTAATTTATGCGAAGATATACATTAATAGATGGATGCTTGCAGGTATATATATATATATATATATATATATATATATATGCTATGAATATTGGTAAAATTTAACTACTACTCGGAAAAGCGAATTTAAACTAATTTAATTTTTTATTGGATTTTAATGTTGTTTCTGAAACATCACTGCATTTATGTCTTGAATATTAATTTTAAAATAAAATTACAAAGTTTTCAGTTATCAGACGATTGGTTATACATTGTTCAAATAAGAGCTGATATTGATGTGCTTAACTGTATTTATAATCTCGGACTTTGTTTATCCTGAATACGCATATTTAAATAAATATTTTTCTGCGTATATCATATGTATTGTTAAATGAATTTATTCAGTAATAGATGCAAATTAGATATGTTTTATGTATGCGGATATATATGTAAGAAAAAATAAGTAAGGTTAAAATGCTACTATTAATTCATATATATATCTTTACAAAGAAATATGGTATATTACGAGAAATAGCAGGTAAGTCACACTTAAATATCTTAAACCGTAAAAGTGCGAACATCAGAAAATTCATCATCGTGCATTTGCAGAAGAAATAAATTTCCGTTTGTTAGATGAGCAACCTTAAAATTATTGCAGAAAATTATTTTGGAAATTTAAAATTAAATATATATACACATATTTTTCTTAAAAAATTAAATAATCAAATTCTCTAGTGATTAAATTTTCAAATTTATGCTATATCAAAACAAAAAAAATTAAATTCATATTCGAAATGATAAAATGTAAAAGGTAATTCTATATTTTCCGTTTATTCCTTTTGCATCCGTTCAATACCGGATAGTTCAACGCATTGCGAATTACTCTCTTTTGAAATATATTTGGAAACGAATTGCAAAAAAACCTCTAGAATCATAGTCAGTTTATTATGTCAAACACAGAAAGAGTTAGACATGGATGTGATTTCACCGCCGAAGTAACGATTAGTTGACACGATTTTATAAAACAAAAGACCGCAATAACGATAAGCATCTTGCCTCGGAAAGGGCTTGCTTCACTTTTCCTCAAACTCCTTCAGATAGGCAGCCGCACAGAGGGGAAAAAGCATTAGAAACCGGAGATGGTTCTGTATCTAATCCATCGTGATTAGCGCTAAACTGGCAATGAACATAATGGTCACGGTTTTTTCCGCTCTATGGACTTCTGACAGGCTTCTGGATTTATGAACTGCCACGATTAAAGGAGGTGAGGCAAGTTTAGAAATTCTTCAGGATTATGCTGAATTACAAGGAATATGGTGAATAACTGGCCGAGGTGTTAGGAAGAAATGTTTTCATAAATCTTATGTATTAGAAAACTTTCTTTGGAGAATATAGCATGAAGTCATATTAGGTGTCTCTGCTCCGCTGTTAACACTCAAAATACGTACAGACTTACAGAGGAATAAATTAAAGATAATCTTACGATTTAATTAATTCCTTTTATAGTTATATTCAGAAATGGTTTTGATTGCGTATGAAGATTAAAAACATGTTCTCACTTAGAAAACAGGACTTAAATATAAATAAAAATAAATAAAAGCCTGGTTCTGAATTATTTATGCGTATTTCCCAGCTCTGTATTTATTCTAGGGAAAGATT